TGGGTAGGAGCCGAATCATCCGAAGTCATATTTCTGAACGATTTCAGATGGTCTCCACAAGTACTGGCATGGAACGACATGCTACTATTATTAGAAGGACAGACAGTCCATTTCCCAGCTCCAAAGTGTCACTATGCACAGGATATAAAGTTTGATGCAGACACGCCAATATTTTGCACAGGCAAACAAGAAATAGTGTTGGTCAAAGGCTGCAACATAGACAAAAGGGAGAGCGAAATGATGAGTGTCAGGTGGCAAGTGTTTAGGTTTACCCAAACCGGCCGTAGCTGGCCGGCCATGAACATCATATTATTCCCAAGCCGGCCGTAACCGGCTGCTAAAAGCACGCTTCGTTTAACTTCCCCTCCCCTCCCCTATTGGTCCAGAGGTTACAAACAATAGCTATAGAAATGTTCCTTGTTTATTAGCCAATCAGAATCTAGTTAGTGCGCATAATTTTGAGAGCTTGTGAGCAAAGCGAATTTATGACTCGAGCTCTAGTGTAAACAACATGGCGTCTTTGCGACCTGGTATTACTGAGGAAGAATTTAGAGCTATTTTCGGCTATTCTGATGATGAAGATAATCTCGAGGATAGACATAATGATGATGTAGATTCTGATTTGGATTTTGAGGGCTTAGAGCCAGTTCATGAGTCCAGTGATAGCGAGGAAAGCGATGGCGAAGAATCAGAGTCCGAAGACGAAGAACATGAAGAGAGCTTTCTCATCCTGCTGGTTTGCTGGTGGACTTGGGAAACTATCCTAAAGCTGACGACATGTTTTTTTTTTATTTTTGGAGAGGAAACTCTTTCAAATATCGTTGCTAAAACGAACAGATATGCCAAACAGCTTGCCAACAAAGCCGAACAATTAGCTCGCTGGAAAGACATAACCGCTGTCGAGTTGAAAGCATACTTTGGTATTTGCGTGCTAATGGGCATCAATACTCTACCAAAAATGGCAGATTACTGGTCAACCGATCCTTGCCTTGCGAACACTGTAATAAAATCTGTGATTGCAAGAAACAGATTTCAAGAAATCACGTAGTTCTTGCACTTCAACGACAGCACAAAAACACCACCACGTGGTGACGCCAACTATGACCGTCTCTACAAAATAAGGCAGATCATAAATACGGTCCTTAAGAACTCTCAACGTTGCTACTCGCCCAAAAAAGCAATAGCCGTTGATGAAGGAATGATCGCCTTTAAAGGCAGGCTTTCATTTCGGCAGTACATGCCAGCCAAGCCAATGAAATACGGCATCAAAGTTTGGATGGCCGCCGACTCTACTAATGGCTACGTCATGAACTTTGAAATCTACATGGGAAGCAGCGAGAAGCTTGTCCACGGSCTGGGATATAACGTCGTTATGAACATGGTCAAGCCATATTTAAACCGGAATTTTGATAATTTCTTTTCCAGTACTAGACTTTTAGAACATTTACAGTCGCAAGACACATATGCTTGTTCTACGGTGAGAGTCAACAGGAAGGACTTGCCGCCATGTACTATGACCAAGCTCCGCCAAAGGCGAACTTGTCCAAGCGCAAAAGGGCAAGATACTATTCACTAAACGGCATGACAAGCGAGATGTCTCCTTCCTCTCTACCACCGTATCTCCAACTGCACCTTCAAGACTTGTTCCACGCTCGAAAAAGAACGTAAACTTCAAAATACTGAAGCCGCGTGTG